GAGCCGTTTTAGGTAGGCGTGGTTGACTCTTAACTTTTATAAAGAATATCTCTTTGAATTTGAGACTTTAGTCTTTGCAACTTTACAGATCTTCTTTATGCACCAAGAGCTTGTAACACTCCAAAGAGAAAGGAAAAATTGAAATTGCATCATATGACCCCTTTAAGTAATTATTTTCTTGTTTTGTTAACAGTTGATTTAGGAATCATATTATCAGGAAATCAGTCAAATGTTAACAGTTCTTTCAAACCCTGCTTCCCTTTGTCCTGTAGCGGCAGTGGATTTGAATCGTGAGTTTTGTGAACAACTAGACAGCCTGGTTGGTCCCCAACTCACCATGTTGGCCTCTGACATATGTGAGCAGTACAACATCAACCGAAGGATATCAGGGTCAGTATTACTCCAGAGCTTCACTTCAACTGCTGAATGAAGAAAATCTAATGTTTGCAGAAAAAACCTCAGTGTCAGGTCATTAAATAATATCAGAAAGGCATTGTAAGTGATTTTTTTTGGCACTGAATTAGCCCTTGAACCACACTCACTCAACTATTTTAATGATATCTGTCAAGTAGTTGGGACATTTTATTTGTGGTACTAAGAAATCGCTTACAGCACTTTTAAACTATTTATATTTATGTTGAGCTGTCACTTCAACTGTCAAGTTAGTCCTGCTTCACTGCTCATAAATGCATCAATCTTAAATGACTGGGTCATCCTGTGACCCAGGTAACCATTCAGAAATATTGACAAGGTATCATGTCCACTGTATCATCTCTCTTCGAGTAGCGGTTACTGGAGCTTATTCATTAATCATATCTAAACAGTGTGTCCTTATCTTACCTGAGCCCTGTGTGGTGTGCAGTATTGTTTTTTGTGGTACAATCCCTCATATCAACTTACTTGCCACTTATCACACTTTAAAGACACATAACTGCTTTTATTCTTCCGTGCATGTTACATTGGGAGGGAAAACTATACCTCAGCTTCACTAATTCTCTCAAAATGTTGTTGTAGGCCAGAGAAGGAGCCTCAGTTTAAGTTCATCTATTTCAACCACATGAACTTGGCTGAGAAAAGCACCATCCACATGCGCAAGACTGCCAGTGTGTCCCTCACCTCTGTCCATCCGGACCTCGTGAAAATCCTTGGAGACATCAACTGCGATTTTGCACGGTAAGCAATGCCACTGATCTACTGAAGAGGTGTATTTATGTTTGAATTACATTTTGTAATTGTATTTGGAATAAATGAATATAAAGGACCAAAAATGATCACCTTTTCCCAAATAATGTTTATTTTATGGTGAAATATTAGTATGTATTGAGTAATAATTGCATGCATTATCCATCATTATATGCACACGATAAATTTCAGCCTAATTCGCAAAACAATTTTTTTTTCTTAAACTCATTGTATTCTACTTGAGTGACCACATGCCCAAGGTTACTAATTTCTTTAAAGCATGTCTAAACCAAATCATTATAAGGGGTTTCTGTACAACAATCTCTAAAGACACACAGCAATAGCAGTAAAAACACAGCTTGAGCTATACCGCTCTTTTTTCCTTTCTCTCTTTCTGTATATCTGTATGTGTTTTTGTTTGTATGGTTTTAAGATTAAACATCTATGTATAAATTTGCATCTTAACATGTTCATAAGGCAGGGCTGTCCAAACTCGATTAGTTAAATTCAGATGACGCGTTATACATCGCCCACTTTCAAATCCCTAGCACTGATGGTCACGTGACGTTGCTGCATACTGTTATGGGTGTGTGCGACTCGAAGCGCCGCTGCGCAGACCGATCGGTGTATGACATTAAAGTACCGCGAGAGCGATTCCACAGCATATTCAAGAGCATATACTCTCGAATCGCTCTCGCGGTACTTTAATGTCAAACACCGATCGGTCTGCGCAGCGGCCACCTATAGATGTTATTACATGATCCACCAGCTGTCTAGGGCATTTTAAATTATGTAAATAATTATAAATTAAATTCTATTTTTGGCAAAACTACAAACAAATGAATCCGTTACATTCCAAAATTAAATAAATAAATCACATATGCTACATGCTGCTCTGTTCGTTAATATTTTGAATGATTGTGTTCAGAAGCCTCTTGCTAAGGATAAAAGTCAAGGTGGATCACCCTGACCAGATGTCCAGCGGATATAATCATACTTTCTGGCTTTTAAACTCTTGGTATGATGCAATTAGCATATTATTCTCCCCACGTCATGTAAGGTTAATAATTTTCATTCTAGAACCTTCACATGAATGGTTTTAACACTAAATTATAAGTATGAAAATGAATATAAACCAGAATCAAGTATTGTTACCCCTTAAAGGCTACATAATTGCTGGAATATATTACTTTCAATATGCAAGGAAAATCTGCATTGGATATATTTCACAAGGCTCGTGTCTTAATTTGATCAGCGTGAGGCAATCAGAGGCTTGAAATCCATATTAAAAGTGGAGCATGATAGCAAGGTTATTCAAGATCATAGAATTTTAAGAGTGTAGTTGAACAAGAATAGCAACCTTCATTTAATGAAAACTGACATTTATTTTGAAATAATGTATGTTAAACCACGATACTGATGACATGATGGCATTTAAAATAAGAGAAAAAAATATAGCTTGACAGATTCATATCCTAAATGTCAACTTAATTGTATCTGTAAGTGATAAAACAAATCTGGACAATGGGTATGAAACACAAAAGAGATGGTAGCTGATGGATACTTAAACATGACAATATGTAGATACAAAAAACTGAAAATAGGTCATTACAGTAAAATTCAGATTTTATAATTACAAGCAACCACATTTCTGTATAGATTAAATAAAAATCTAAAAAATTGCATGTGAAAAATCTTTTTTTACAATGCAATTATTGCATTACACTGATGCTGTCAGTAAAACCTGAACAGTTGACAGTTTTAGTGTAGTGAAGTAGTCCATGCCCATCATATCTCTTCAGTCCAAGAAAAAAATATTATTGAATTGTGTTGCACACAGCCTTTTCACTTCCTCTGTAACACAAATAGAATCTTGGTGAGAGTTTACGTCAACAGAAATGTTTTTAATACGCTAACTTATAAATTAACTAAACAATTTAGATTAAAAGTTAACTAGTAGATTTTAATAACTTCATACCATTATATCACCTCAATGTGATAATTAGTTAATCTTTACATACCATTCACTTCAATGAGGTTGGCATTCTTCTGGTTCAAAATGACGTACAGCTCCCTCTGATCAGACTTCTTTCCAACAACCCAGTAATCGGTCATCGCTTTAACAATGATTTCCTCATCCTCATCAACCCTACAAAACACGCACAAACACTGAGTCTCATTCACTAACCGTGTGGCCTTATGACAGGGCTGGCCAAACTCGGTCCGGGAGGGCCGGTGTCCTGCAGAGTTTAGCTCCAACTTGCCTCAACACACCTGACTGGAAGTTTCTATGCCTAGTAAGAGCTTGATTAGCTGGTTCAGGTGTGTTTAATTAGGGTTGGAGCTAAACTCTGCAGGACACCGGCCCTCCCGGACCGAGTTTGGCCAGCCCTGTCATAAGGCCACACGGTTAGTGAATGAGACTCAGTGTTTGTGCGTGTTTTGTAGGGTTGATGAGGATGAGGAAATCATTGTTAAAGCGATGACCGATTACTGGGTTGTTGGAAAGAAGTCTGATCAGAGGGAGCTGTACGTCATTTTGAACCAGAAGAATGCCAACCTCATTGAAGTGAATGGTATGTAAAAATTAACTGACTAACACTGAGGTGATATAATGGTGTGACGTTATTAAAATCTACTAGTTAACTTTTGATCACAGTTGTTTAAAGTTAGCGTTAAAAAAACATTTCTGTTGACCTAAACTCTCACCAAGATTCTGTTTGTGTTACAGAGGAAGTGAAAAGGCTGTGTGCAACACAATTCAATAATATTTTTTTCTTGGACTGAAGAGATATGATGGGCATGGACTACTTCACTACACTAAAACTGTCAACTGTTCAGGTTTTACTGACAGCATCAGTGTGACAATCAAAAGAGCGGTATTCACTTTTCAAAACCTGCCCGCCATCTTGCATGTCGTGCGCGTTGGGCAGGTAAACGTTACATAATATAAATATTGCGAATAATTTTGTCTGGATATAGCATTTTTTTGGACTTCTGTAACCTACCTTAATATAAAGGTAAGAAATATCTCCTATTATTTCAAACAGATGGATAAAAAAATAAACTTGGTGTGTTAAACGTGGCCTCAACGCCGAATAAAATGTCATTGTGTACAAGTGCAAACGACGTAAAACGTCTGGTTTAATATAGTAAGCAAAATTGTTGATCGATAATATGTTGCGGGGTAAAAAAAAAAACTTAATTCTGGTTTATAGTAATTTTCATACTAATAATTCAGTTACAACCATTAATGTGAATGTTCCAGAATGAAAATGATTAACCTTACATGGCTTGGGGAGAATAATATGCTAATTGCATCATACAAACCGTTTAAAAGCCATAAAATATGATTATTTATATCTGCTGGACATCTGGTCAGGGTGATCCACCTTGACTTTTATCTTCAGCAAGAGGCTTACCTTTCTGAACACAATCATTCAAAATATTAACGGACAGAGCAGCATGTAGCATATATTATTTATTTTTGTATTTAAGTTTGGAGTGTAACGGATTAATTGTTTGTAGTTGTGCCCAAAATAGAAATGTCCTAGACAGCTTGTGAACCATATGTACAGTCAGCGTCACGCGTGACCGTCAGTGTTAGGATTTGTAAGTGGGCGGTGCATAACGTGTCATCCAAATGTAACCAATCAATGAAGGGGTCTGCGTAGCAGAGCAGCCAATCAAAAGAGCGGTATTCACTTTTCAAAACCTGCCCGCCATCTTGCATGTCGTGCGCGTTGGGCAGGTAAACGTTACATAATATAAATATTGCGAATAATTTTGTCTGGATATAGCATTTTTTTGGACTTCTGTAACCTAACTTAATATAAAGGTAAGAAATATCTCCTATTATTTCAAACAGATGGATAAAAAAAATAAACTTGGTGTGTTAAACGTGACCTCAACGCCGAATAAAATGTCATTGTGTACAAGTGCAAACGACGTAAAACGTCTGGTTTAATATAGTAAGCAAAATTGTTTATCGATAATATGTTGCTTTGTTGATTCAGGCATGATAAAATTAGAATTTTATATTACAAATGTAATATGAATCGCACACATCAGTTTGAAGGATTTGGTTAGGAATTTTCTTTTTACAAGTGATATCAACAAAATTACAACTCTGAAGTCGGACCTTCTGTAAGAAATCAAGACGTCTGTTTATTTCTTAGATCTCTGCTGCATTAAGTTTTGTTTGTATTTGTATTTAGTTATTTGTTGTTGTTTGTTTGTTTGTTTAACTAAAACCAACCCGTTCTGTGACTGCTCAGAGAAAAAGATTTACATGAAGTCAGTATGAAATAAATAAAAGAACACAAAAGTTACAGAGACATTATCCATGTTTTTACCAGGTCAGCAAAAAAGAAGATATTAAGTTTGATTGGGGAAACAGCCTTTGATGTCAAAAACAAAGATGTGAAAGTGTTTAATCGCCCTTGTAATAGTTGATAAGCTGTCCTAACTAAGCAAAACTATATGATTTTACAGAGTTGAATTATTACATTAAAATAGACCTAACGTTAAGCCTATTTATAGATAAGCTGTGACCTCTCTGCTTTAAATAATTATGTTCCTGTTGTAAAAACTCTTATAGGATGGACTCTCGCTTCGCTCACTTGTACAAGCGAGACAGCAGTGTGTCTATGATCCGGCTGAAGATGTCCAGACGCCGGTCTCAATCTCAGAAAGAGAACCGAGAGAAGATCCAGAACCTGCGCAGACATCTGGACCATCTGCCGGAGATCGAGCTCTCAATGGATGCATCCAGCCTCATGGCCACCCAAGACAACGCACCAAAAACAAAGGCAGCTAATGGTAAATATCATAGTTATTTTTGTTTAATTTTGTTTTGGCATGGCCCTTTTTTCCCAAGTAGTTGCAATTGTACTTAACAGATGTAAATGCTGCTGCTGAGGAGAGAAAGAAGATGCTTGCTCGTTACAAAGAAAACAAGATGTTGCAGAAGGAGAAGGAAAAGTGGGACAAAGAGAAGAAAGGCATGTTTAAGGTCAGCCTGTATAAGCCACAGCCACTCGGGTATCTGCCTTCAAACACTGCTGCACAAAGCAGAGCCAAGGTGAGTGATGGGAATAACGGTTAGAAAAAACTCACTCTTTAAAAAAAAAAAAGAGTACCTAATTTCCCATCTCATTCTTCATCATGACAGATCACAGAAACTAACCAGTCCACACGAGTGACCCGCTCAATGATGCGGAATCAAAAGGTATCATTTAAAAGCTGAAGTGTCTCATTTCTGCATCACTGCCATCACCAAATGAAATGACAGAAATAATGTCTGTTTTCAAACATGTTTCCCCGAACATACCCCCATCTGCCATTATTCAACAAACCGGTAGACCCGGGTCAAATTAACAACATTGGTTAAACCAAAAACCCTCAAACACACGCGTATCAGCTTATCTTTATGTATATTACCTTTCAAAAGTCTGGGGTCAATGTGTGTTTTTTTAAATTTTTTTTTATTCTATACTTTTATTTAGCTAAGACTTTTTAATGTTAACACAATTCTTTTGAACTTTCTATTCAACAAAGAATCCTGGGAAGAAGAAAAAAATCACTGTTTCCACAAAAAATATTACAGCTGTAGCACAACTGTTTTCAAAATTGATCATAATAAGAAATGTTTCTTGAGAACCAAAACAACTTGTTAGAATGATTTCTGCAGTATCGTGACACTGAAGATCGGAGTAATGGCTGCTGATAATTCATTTAAATATATCTAAAACAATCTTACCAACCTGAAACTTCTGAATGATAATGTTTTGTCGTCATGTAATGACTAATTATGTGCTATAACATTTAAAAAAAAAATGTATTTATGATTTTAAATCATGTAAGCTTTGTTGTTTATGTACCTGTTATATTACAGCCAGCAGCAGACAGACATGCTGTTCCAAAGAAAGGTTTGTTGTCTTTAACTTCTCATGTTTTTGTTTTACCTAATGAGAATCATACAAATCAACAAACTGTGGTGCCTTCAAGTTGTTGATTAACAATCTTTGTGTTTGTACAGTTGAAAATGTATTGACCACCAGAGCTTCAGCCAAGACTAACTCAAAAGCTGTGACTACCACCAAAACCAGAGCAGCTACAGGTAAAATCTACTTAATTAAATTTAGGAAGATGTAAAAGATGCAGTTGGACGATGTAGTTAGAGGTTAACATTTTCATTTCAAAGTTCCACGAGAGCTTTTTTTACTGACCCCTAACTTTTGAACAGTAGTGTACTCTTGAATTAGGACCCCATGCAGAGCATGATTGTGCATGAACTTCTTTTACAGTTGAACCATCTGTAAGAGCTCCAACCACACGATCAGCAGCTAAAACACCAGCAGCTTTGGTTAAACCGGTTACTGGTGAGTTTTATTATAACATTTTAAGCCTTGCTGTACTTGTGTTGCATGCATGAAAGCCACATTCTCTGTGATTTAGATTCAAGGATTGCAAAAACAAGATCAACTGTTAAATGTCCTGTAGCGCCCTCTTCAGGCAAAGAGAAAGATGTACAAAGTAAGAAAGATGGCTATTTTCTTTTTGCATATTTTCTGATATTGTACATGACATTGCTTTATATTGCCATATTGTTGCTCAGAAGGCATTAATGTTGTTTCATTCTAGCATTATTGGATAAATGTGTCATTAATCAGTAGATCTCATCTTTCTCAGGCAACACCAAGGCAATTACTGAAAATAAGGTAAGGTGAGCTGTCACGTCTTTATGGCTTTGACATTTTCTGAAAACTGCAAATTATATTTTACATTTGGATATTTTTAGACTGGCGAGAAAAAGGACACTGCAGTTGATTTTTTGAGACCTGAGGAAGAGGAACCCAAAGCTGCTGCCCCCTCATTTGCCCCTCAGGGATTCGTGTTCCAGCCTCCTGTGTTCCAGCCTCCTGTTGGTCTAAGTTCGTTCGAGCCTGCACCTCTCTCTCCACGTTCAGGCAGCGCCTTCCTCTCACCGAGGTACCTTTAGAATTAATTCTAACAAACTACTTGATAATTCTATACTTTAAAGGGGTCATATTCAATCGAGTTTTGATTAGCGCTTGTTTGTCATTTCTCCGATCACAAATGCAGACAAATGGTTTTATGGTTACGCTGTGCGATACGCAGCGCGTAAAAAGACAGTATAAGTCATTATAATCCGTAAAT